CAAATGGACAAACTTTAATTCATTTGGAAGAACTTAATAATGATAATATTATTAAACAAGCAACAAAAGCAATTAATTATCATTATTTTCATACTTTAGAAAATTCTACACATAGAAGTAAATTATTTTGGCATAATTTTATTGAATAGTTTGGAGCCTTTAGAAGATATCAAAATCTTCCTTATATTAATTAGTTCTGATATGGCTAATTCACATAATTTTAATCATTTAGAATGTGTAAACAATTTGATTCTTGCTCTTAAACCATTAATGAATTGTGTTAATCAATTTGTTAAAGACAATTACAAAAATTTATATATAAAATTAAACAATTTAGTTTTAGGTCTATTTGTACCAAAACTTTTGGAATTTTTTCTATAATGTCTATTAATTTTAATATTATTAGTGATTATCATTTAGATAATAATGATGATGAAAATTGTTTTTGTTTTCTAGTTGCTTTAGAAGATTATAAAGGAGGTGAATTATGTTTTCCTCAACTTAAAATTATAATATATCTTAAACTAGGACAAATTATAGCATTTTGTTCAAGTTTATTATTACATGGAAATTTAAAATTATTGATGGAATCAGACATAGTATTATATATTATATACATTGTAATTTTTTAAAAAGACTAATAATAATTATAATATTAAATAAAATGAAGAAGAAAATTTTCTTTTAAATATTAATAATATTGAAGGTTTAAATAAGATCATTAGACTTCAAAAAGCAAATATGAACAAACTTCTATAAATTTTGAATATATAAAAAATAGAAAAAGTCAAAATAATGTACTTAGAGCTCATAATTTTTTAAATAAAAAATCTTTTTTTTAAACTTTATAATTTATAAATACACTTTTATAATAAATAAAATTTATTTAATAAAAATTTGTAAGCTAAAAACTTAATTATTTTTATATTACGAAGATACTAATATTCTATTATATAATTTAAGTATTATTGTATTCTTCTGAAATTAAGCGTTCCTAAAAATATTAAAAATAAGCACAATACATATTTAATTCATATCCAAAAATAAGTATAATTATATTATTTTAATTAATAATAATAAATTTTATATATTTTATTTAAAAAAATTTATTGCTACTATTATTAATGTTATCACCATCATTATTTATGCTATTATTATTATTATTAGTGCTATCATTATCATTATCATCACAACTATTATTATCACTATTAATGCCATTAATTCTATTACCTTTATTATCATTACTATTGACATTTATAATGTTCAATATTTTATCTTCAATCTCTTCTTTAATCTCTTCTTCATTTTCATATGGTCTATACAAAGAACTTGATAGCCTAATGTTTTAAAGAATTTAATGATAATTTCATCTAAAATTGTTTTTCAAATACGTTTGACCATATGCAAACATTACTTAATCTTGTCTGATGAAGATTTTCTATAACAATTGTTTTAGCACTACCTCTAGCCATCCAATTATACCATTTTTTCCTTAAATTTTCTTTAAATGGTTTATTAATTGTAAAATCGAGTGGTTAGCAAATGTAGGTCAATCCATTTGGAATTACTGCTAATTATATTCACTTTCGCAAAACTTTATTTTAACAGATTCTTCTATATGACTCTTAAATGAATCATATACTAACATTGCAGAAGTATTATTAGTTTTTATATTATTAATATAATCCATATACCTTTTCATCAATTTGGTATTCATCCATCCATTTTCTTGAAACTAAACTATTACTCCAGAAGGAACTTATTTTCCTTTAAAAATACAAATAGGTAGTAATCTAGTATCATTAAAATAATAAAACTTTTACTTTTCTTTCAATAAATACTATTAAAGATTTTTACCTTTTAGGTTAATTGAAATATTACCAGCCATATTGTTAACGTGTAATTCTTGCGAACTACAACTAATAGACAGGTGTCGGAGTGTTATTTTTTTTATATACGTAGTAATCTACTGATTTATTTCTAAGTCCTAGGCTTATAACTAGTGTCATTCAGACGTATTGATTTGATATTTCACTAAGATATTAAGCTATCACAAAGACCTGATTATCTTTTAATAGATTAAACACAAAAGACCTGATTGTCTTTACACAGATTAAATATGAAGACCTAATTGTTTTGTAGATTTATACTCAAATTGCAGCTTATCGCTAAGACTTATGTATCACGCAGAATTGGAGATAATAAAATAGTTTATTGATAATAGAATAAATAAATAAAGATTAAAGAAGAGATTGAAGATAAAATATTGAACATTATAAATGTCAATA